GGGGGGGGGGGATATCAACTGGAGGGGGCACAAAGTGGCCTCTTGGAGGAGCTGGGGACAGTTTCTACCTTGATCTAGGTGACAGATGCATAAGTGTCTACAGACTTTAACATCTATTGAGCTGGGGGCGCCTGGGTGGCTTAGCCGGTTAAGTGTCCAACTCTTGGTTAGGCTCAGGTCATGATCTCATGGCTTTGTGGGTTTGAGCCGTGCATCAGGCTCTGTGTTGCCAGCATGGAGCCTGCTTGGGATTCTCTCTCTCTCTCTCTCTCACCTTTCCCTCACTTGTACATGCCGTAATGTCTCTCAAAATAAACAATGGCAACTTTAAAGCATTTGTGAGGGAATTTTCCAGAGCTGACTCGGTCAGTTAGCATCACGGCTTTCAGCTCAGAGTGCTTGTCTCCCGCAGTTTGTAATTTGAGCTTCCATTATGGCTCTCTGCCTTCCTTTCAGAGCGCAGAGTAAATTCATAATATTTTCTCTCTGCCTCACCCTTATACCACTCTGCTACATATACCGAAAATAAGCCATGTAAAAAATTTTTTTTATTTGGCCAAGCTGTACCTTCGAGAGTTGTCCAATTGTTATATTTATGCTATATGTCAATTTTTAAATTTTTTTATTTCTTAAAGTTCATTTATTCTGAGAGAGAGAAAGAGAGAGAGAAAGAGGGGCAGAAAGAGAAGAGAGAGAACATCCCAAGCAGGCTCCGCACTGTCAGCCCAGAGCCTGACGTGGGGCTCAAACTCATAAACCTGTGAGATCATGACCTAGGCCAAAATCAAGAGTCAGACATTTAACAGACTGAGCCACCCAGATGCCCCAAATTTATATGTCAATTTTTAAAAAGTTGTTTACACTTGCTCTTTCCAATTCTTCATCTCTCACTTGCTTCTGCCCACTATCATCAAGTTCGTCTCTCCCTTCATGAAACTGCCCTGTTGGAGTCCTCAGAGACCTGCATACTACCAGCTTCAGCAATTCATTCTCCAATCTTATCTCCTTGGTAGCATTTGACACTTGCTCCCTTGGCTCCTAAAGTGCCCACACTCTGTTTCCTCCCACCTCCCCAGCTGCTCCTGCTTAGCTCCTTTGCTGGTTCTGCTTTCCTACTACCACCCAGAGGAGTGTTCCAGGACTCAGTCCTGACTGCTGCCCTCCTCTGTCTATACTCACTTCTCCCATCTCAAAGTCAATGGCCTTAAATACCATCCACTCACTTTGCCTCCCAGATCTAAGGCTTCAGTGCTGATTTCTCTCCCAAATTCCAGAGTCACCCAGTGGCTGACCCGGCATCTCATATAGGATGTCTAACAGGCATCTCAAGGGTCACGTGTCCACAAATAATCATTTGGTTTTCCTCCCCAAACCCGTTCTTCTCCAGTCTTTCCTGGATCAATTCACAGCAATTCCATCCAACCAGTTGTTCAGGCCAGAAATCTAGAAGTCATGCTAGATGCTCCTCTTTCCCTACTCATATTCATACATCAGCAAAACTTGATATTAACTCCAGAACATACCCCAAATTCACCCCCTTCTGTGCCCCAGCCCCACGCAGACCCAGGCCCTCCCTTCTCTTGGTGGATGAGGGCAGGAGCCTCCACTCTGATTACAGAGTGGTTCTCCTAAAGCAGATGGGATTATTTAAACAGGAGCCAGCCCAGGCCATTCCCTGCTCAAAAGTCCCAGTGCTCCCCCATTGCACCACAAACAAATCCCTATATTTCTTTCTAAGGCCGCTAGGAGACTGGTTTTGCTGATCTCCTCATTCCCCCAACTACCACGTCTAGACACTTGGTCCTTCTTTGTCTTAAGCCCTGTCGAAATCCTCTCTTGTCCGGGCCTTTAACTGGCTGATCCATCTGCCTAGAATACCCCTCTTTTTTTTAAGTGTATTTTTATTTATTTTAATAGAGATATAGAGAGCAATTGGGGGAGGGGCAAAGAGAGAGGGAGACAGAATCCCAAGCAGGTAGTAGTACGCTGTCAGCGCAGAGCCCCATGGCCAAACCGTGAGATCATGACCTGAATCAAAGTCAAGAGTCAGACCCTCAGCCGACTGAGCCACCCAGGTTCCCCTAGAATACCCCTCTTCTTTATCTCCCATGATGGCTCACTCAGATCACATACAGAATGCTGCCTCCTCTGAGTCCCCTCTCCCAAACAAGCCCGTCTGCCCCCCATTTCCGGTATTTTTCTGTCTACTGATTAGTCTTGTCTCAAGTTAGACTGTATCCTCGAACCTAGCCTTGGATCCTGGAGTGGTCTCCAGGAACGGACTCGGACCATTCTGGGCAGAGAGCACCGCCCTAACCCTCCTGCTCTCACTCTCCGTAGTGGTGGCTAGTGGTGCGGGCAGAGGGAATGCGGATGTTGCGGCAGGAATCGCGGCTAACCGAGCCCTCCCCACTAGAGGGCGGCCCCGCCTTGCTTGGCCCAGATGCAGGACCGAGAGGGTGCGGGCTGGGCTTTGGCTGAAGCCCCTTCTCTGTGCTGCCGCAAGGTCCAGAGCTCCTGGAGTCCTCATTGGGGCCGGACCCTCCCATCACTTCCAGGGTCTGTCGAGGCCGGTTTCAGGACCGAATACAGTAGGTCGCGCCCGGAATGGGCCACAACACTGCTAGATCAACGGCTGGGGGCGCTCTGCCCTCACGTGGGCGTAGCCACCGGATCCGCGAGCTCTTGAGGCCCCCTGCGAGAGGGACTGCAGTGCTATCCCGGGAAAAACGGGGAAGCTGAGGCTACTGCGGGGAAGTGACTTGTCCTAGGTGAAGCAGCGAACCTGGAGTGAGCTGAACCGCCCAGGGTGGTCGGGGAAGTCCCAGGCCAGACCCGCCCGGCTTCGAGACACAACCCAGCCCCTCGCCCCCAGAGCTCGCGGGGAGTGGGGAGTGGGCGTCAGGCACATCTACCCGTCAGTGCCCGAGGGGCGGGACCACTTCAGTCCCTCCCCGGCCCCATTGGCTGCAGCACCAGGGGCGGGGCGCGGCTGCCAGATGTTGGGGCGGTGGCGGCGGCGGGAGCTACGGAGAGCGAGGAGCCGCGGCGCCAGTCAGAGGGCCAGGGTGCCGCTGGCCGGCCCGCTGGGCCCGTTCCGCGCCGGTCCCGCTGGAGTTCGAAGAGGAACTGCCAGGCCTGGCGGGGGCTCCGGCACGGGCATGCATAGCGCTCGGCTTGACAGCTTCCTGAGCCAGCTCCGCTGGGAACTGGTGAGACTTGGGAGCGGGTGTGGCTTGTGAGGACGCGTGTGGGGTGCCCAGCTGCCGTCCGGCCCGAACGACACACGGGTAGGGGGCCGTCCCGAGTGCCCATCCAAGGCGGGATGGGGGCGGGGAGGCGCAGATGGCCCAGATGGCCCGCATCGGGTTTCGGACTGTTGGGGGCTGCCCTGGGCATCAAGTAACAGCCGCCCAGCTGGCCAAGCTGCTGGGGCGGCGGAGGGAGGTGGCGGGGAGAAATTTATTTTGGGGCTGAGCAGGGGGCTGCGAGGGACTAAAGAGGTGCTAGAGCTGCTACGGATGCCTTCTACCCCAGGCTAACCTGTACTTCTTCTACCCCCCACCTGGCAAGTGCTCTTTCTCTGAAAGACGCTGTGAGCTTTGGGGAGCTGAATCCCTCAGGAAACAGGGGATGCTCCCCCACCCCCAGCCCTGAACAGGACTTACTTCCCGATGCAGGCGGGCCCACAACCCTGCCTCCCTCCCTGGTGGCGGGTACCGACTTGCCCAGCTCTGCGTGCTGCAGC